ATCACATCACCTATTAACTGAATGATTTTCTATCTTAAAATTTACAGATACTAAGAACAAACGTAAGATACAGGTTTGTTAGTACTGTGTAAGGGATTACAAAGGACAAGAATGGTAAGTTACAGGACAAAGAAATAAGTTACTGATTGCCATCACCACAGTACTGTTTAAAGAATTAACATTATCAGTAATGCCCAATGTCTGGTGATATATGTAAGAACACATTTCCCAACTGGGTTACTGACTGAATAGTTTTGTATGTGATTTTTAAAAGTTATTTATCAAAGGTGATTTCAATATCATCAATAGTTATATATTTTAGAAAATGCTTATCATGCATTTTTATGTCAAAGTCTCACATTCTAGATTTAACCAAGATAGGTATAAGAATAACAAGTGGGCATACATATAAACAAAGTAACAAACACATATTAATTCTAAACTGCAGGGCCTTTCTACTGTACTTCTCCCATCAATGAATCAGTAATTGCCAGTTTTGTTGAAGTGTTCTAAGTCGGGTGCCATTTTTATTGCAGAAATAAAAGTGAGGATAAAAGTAAGCAGGAGGGTAACAATGGAAAAAAAAAACAAGTTATATAAGAAATAAATATCAAGACACCTGAGTGTCATCCATATTCCACAAAACAGAGCACCATGAAAAAAAAATTAACTTCATATTAGAATTTAATCAAATCTTGGCAAACCCCAAAATAAACTTTGCTGAGACAAAAAGCATCAGAATATTTCCACAGTAATTTTTAAAACAAACGTTAAAATGATCTCAGAACACTGTTTTCAATAAAAATTTCATAATGTCCCATGTACCACAAAATGGAGTTGGCATTTAAAACAATGGACTTTAAATGTCAAAAGTTCTATTCCTTCCTCCAGAACTATTCATTTTGGAACTCAAAAATGTTGGTAATTGTTTAAAAAGGTGGCCACCAAGTACTAACAATTATGCATGATATTAAGTCTACCTTTTTGTGGATGTGAAAATTCCAACTTTGAAGATAAGTACCAGTTGGTAAATGTGCATAAAATGATTCTCCAGATATACAAGCAGGTAAAAATAAGGTATTAATCATTACCACAAACATACAAATTTTTAAAATGCTCAAAAAGGTTTTTATCAAAAAGGTAGAAATGACATTCACATCTTTCAGTCACTCTGCTATTATCAGATGACAATCTATGGATATAAAACAACTAAAAAAAAATAAATCCTCAAATTTGCTTCAAAGTACTGGATGGAAGGCTGAGTTAGATATCTGAGCACACAGTTGTGCAGAATGAGATTTCTTTTATTCAGTTTCTTAGCCTGTGAGTGAAACAAAGTGCTACACAGAATTCTAGCACAAACCTTATCTGTTAAGGAGGAAAACAGAAAATAAAATTAATAAAACAAGAACAAATAAAATTAAGAGAGGGACACAGTATACAACAAAAATTATTCTGGTTAAGCAGAAGGCATAATAATAAAATAGATGATTCAAGCAGTTTGTACACAGGCTAGGAGCATTACAGAGGCAAAAGTTTAGAAGACAATAAGATAAAGTGAGTTGAGTTGGCAAAAAAACAAAACAAAAATGTCCCTTAGTCACCCTTTGGCCCTGGAAAAGAATTCACTCCCATGGATCAACTTTCAGCCAAACAACAGACAGGTCCATGAGATGAACACATGAAGGTATGCACTCCTCAGAATAATCAACTATGGGATCAGAAAGGCAGCAATCATACAGGAAGAAAGCGCAGAAGGTACGAATACAGGGAAGAAGGACACAGGGAAAAGTAACCATTGGCAGGGCGAGAGCTGTTAAACTGTGGGAAGTGTGAACAGTATCACTGAACAAAATGTGTATGAATGGAAAATGAATCTGCTTTTAAACTTTCATCCAAATCACAAAAAGTTAAAAACAAAAACAAAAAAGTACATACAAACACTCACAGACTCTCACACTCACAGACGCTCATACACACAAACACGCGCACATAACAAGAATTTAGTCATTAGGCTAGTAGGCTAATGCATGTTTTGGAGAGGATCCTGTTGCTGGAAAAGATACACACAGCAAGCCATAGTACTGAAGAAACACGCAATTCAGTTTTCATAAACATACATACGTGCTAAGATCTTAAAGCTAGGAGTTTAAACATTAGCATTCATGAGAAATATTACAGATCACTGACTTAGTATTTAATAGGATTAGGCTTATACATGTGTACGCTCTCATGAACCTTAATGGAAGAGTTTTTCCTAGAAATTCAAAGATTTAGACTTTGCTTCAGAATTCTTACCTTATTTCCTACTTGCTTTGCTATGGCTCAACCTATTGCTTATTTAGGTTTAAAGGTGTCTAAAATTTAAAGTGATAGAGTATTCAATGTGATGTAAATTATGACACATTCAGAGGAGGTGATGCTATAAAAAAAAAAGTATAAATTGAGAGAAAAAAACACCCAGATATAAAAGTAAAAATACTATCTTCCAAACTTTAATTATCACACTTATTAAAATATTTTACATGCAAACACAAAATTATGTTTGTTCTGTAATAAATGATAACTATGTTTGTCTCTAACCTACCCTGATGACTAACTCTTTAAATCCTAATAGTTGAAATCAACATTTCAGCAAAATGCTGTTCACTAGTATTTTCACAGTATTTCACTACATATAAAATATGCTTAAAAATGTTTTCATCCGTATTATACTAATTATCTAAACCTAGAAAAATCTTGACATTTGGGGAATAAATGTAGCATTTTTATTTTTCAAAATAAATTATAAATAAAGCTCCAGATAGTTAAAGTCACACAAATGGCAATTCTTCTACATTTCAAGAGGTCAGCTCTTCATAGAAGAATGGCAACAAAAAACTCCACATTAAATAGTACACATTTGGATATATCCATCAATTTAAGCAACTATGTATGTAGGATAGGCCAACCAAAGTGTTATCGATTCCAGGAAAACACAGGCACAATTTAGTCTAAATTGCCCTAGAGATGAATAACTGAAAGAGTACATTTTATCAAAAATCAAATATGAAAAATTTTTGAATCTATACTATGGTTAAAAGTGGCAGCTGAGCTACAACCAGAAGTTTTGGTTTAGTGAGGGGGTGGGGGGGTGGAAAAAAGAGACAACAGTAAAATATTAGCTTGGTCTACTGTCCATAACAGATGTTAGTGCCATTAGCAATTCACAACAATACTTTCTCTTAAAGTTTGAACATCACTTCTACTGCAAGTGAAAATTGTTTAAAGATGTTAGTCTAAGAATAACCCCTATCCCCTACCCTACAAAAAAAGCAAAGTTATGTGTGTACTCCTTCCTCTGTACTTAAGGATTTTCAGATTCATGAAATGACTGAAAGCATGAGACAAATATATCAGCTTAAGAAATATCCTAGACTACTAGGTATAGATTAAGAAGTTTGTTTTATCCCTTAAGTCTGATCTAAGTGCAACAATTCTGCTGCTACAAAACCAGAGATTTAAGTATCTAACAAATTAGCAAATTTGCAATTTTTCAAATTTGAGGAATAAAACTGATGGAACTCAAGCTTACTTACAGAATCATGTGCTCTCTACTGTTGTAAACATGACCATAAGGGTTTTAAAGATATTTTTCATTTATAAAATAATTATTCGAAATATCAGTGTGCAGTATAATGAGGTTCTTTTCTCAAAGACTGTAATAGAAGAGAACCCTTTGAAATAGTATGAGCAGAACCTATTAAAATTTATTCAAAATATTAGCTATTCAACTCAAACTAGGTGCTTTGTTAAATTTTAAGATTCAAATGAAAACCAGTAACTCATAGCTATTAAATTCTAAGTGGTAGCAGAGATATAAAAGTAGTAGCCCAAGTCTACTTATATGTTCTAAGAACAGCCTAAGGTAGAACATACCATACTTATGAAATTTTATTAATTACAACTATTAATTTGTTAATACATTAACAATGTCTCAGCTTATGAGTATTCATTCCTACCTACCTCGTTCTATTTCTCCGTAGTCAATAATGAACAACAACAATCTATTTTCCAGTAGTTTTAGTTAATAGAGGTAGCTGAGCTACTATTCAAAAAGTCATTCTTTGTGGATGAGGATTTTTCAAATATTTAAGTTATTCTTCAAGCTACATAATTTTTATTAATGCAATAAAATATAAAAGGAAAAAGAAATAGATGCAAGAAACTTTTGCATTTGGCACCTTGTCTAGATTGATACCTCAAGTATTTTTTTTTAATAAAGTTAATGCACACATCAGGACACACCACAAAGATTTGCTACATATTTACAAGGCACCAACCCTTTCTCACCTTTTACATGAATTAAGCAAATCAATGAAAAGTACATCAAGACACACACCCCCCCAAAAAAAGAAAGAAAACAACAACTGTAGTATAAATATATACTTCAGTTCAGTACAATTCAGTAAAGTTTGGCCTGGGAAGAGTAAAATAATCCAGATCGTTCTTACAATATAGAAACTGTAAACATTTAATAGCTGCCTTTAGGATTGGTGTATTGTGCAAAAGTTATTATTACTGGGTATAGGAGTCAAAATGGCAAAAAAAAAAACTATATAAAACTCTGTAAGAAGGTGCTATACTTCTGAATATAAAAGCAAAAGAGGGACATTCCTTTGAGATAAAAATGTCAAGCTACTCTTAAGAAACTGAATGTTCCTTTAATGTGGTAAATCTGTAGTGTGTCTGTGTGTTGTATGTGTGCATGTATGTGTGTCTATGTGTATGTGTGTATGGGCAGAATTTCTTTTAATTTAAGGCCTAATGAGTAAGGCTTGTTTGAACAAATGAAGTGTGGAGATCTAAAGTCTTGAAACAAATGTATACTGGCATAATGGAAAAGCACCAATGTGAAAGGAAGCAGAAGTCCCCACACAACTTGCTTTGTAGATTTCCTGGTAAATTCCCTGCAGTAGAAGGCCATTGAATTTTTAAAATTACTCTAAATTTTTCAACTGTTAATAATTCCATCCCATGAGATGGCTAACCCTGGCTTTTTCAGTCATTTTACGCACTCTGCCTGACCTGGATGTACCAAGATTCAGAGGATCCTCAGTGGATACAAAATTGTCATTATCAGAATCATCATTATATAAAACAGTCCTCCTGCCTTGGTTTCTTGTTTTAATTCGAGGCAGTCTACTAAAACGTCCCGAAAACATGGTATCAAATTCATCATCTGCAATACGTGCACGTTTGGCTCTGGTAGCTCCTCTAGAAGCACCTCTTCCACCTCTCCCTCTCCCTCTAGTGCCACCTCCACCTCTGCCTCGACCTCCTCTTCCCCTGCCTCCTCTTCCTCTGCCTCCTCTACTCCATCTGCCCCATCTGCCCCATCGGCCTCTTCCTCCGGTGCCTCTAGTCTTCCAGTTTCTTTTTCCATTGGCATGTTGCTTTCTGAGTTTTCTTTTAGGTCTGGTTTGTATGAATTTGCTATAGTCATGGTCTCCATCTACATAATCTTGATCTGTTCTGGAAGTTGATTCAGAGTCAGAATCAGAACCACAGGTACTTTCAGAACTTAAACTGGATCCTAACTCTCCACTCTCTGAGGAGGATATATGTGCTTTCTCTTTAGTTTCTTTTTTCTCTTTTTCTTCTCCTCCCATGCTTTCATCTTCTTCTGATGCACTAAGAAGTTTTCTCTTGATTCCTGTCCGGGGCTCTCTGCCATCGCCATTTGTAAGGGGTCCATCAAGTGGGTGATCTAAATCAAGATGAATGATGTTTAAGTTAAGTTTTGACATTAGTAAGATGGTTCTTCAGATTCAAAAGAAATATAAGCAGTTTATCAAAAAATATTCAGTGCCCAAAAGTAGACGGGGTAAGATCACAGAGGGTATCGGAGTATGAATTTTACCTACTGTTATAGACTGAATGTGCCCCTTAAAATGTGTGTTACAAATCCTAACCCCAATATTTGTGGTCATAATCTCATCTGGGAATGGTTTTTCTTTGTTATGTTAAGAGGCCATCAGTGTAGGGTATATTTTAAGTCAGTCACCTTGGAGATATAAAAGGAGATGATTAGGCACAGAGAAGCTAGCAGAGATGAGGGCAGACAGATGCCAGGCTACATGAATATTGCTCAGGAGCAGAAACTCCAGCGCTGACAAAGAGAGAAAGCCTTTTCCTAGAGCTAGCATCCTGAATTTTGACTTCTAGTCTCATAAACTGTGGGTAAATTAATTTGTTTGTTAAAGCCATTCATGTGTGGTATTTCTATTATAACAGCACTAGATAACTACTATGTGCCAGGCATTGCTAGCACCTTGAAATATGGTGACGAATGAGACAAAGGCTCCTTTCTTGGGATTTATATTTTAGTGGAAAAGACTGACAGATAGTAAAGTAAGCACATGATATAATTTCAAGTACTGATAAAGAAAAATAAATGAGAATTAAAAAGACAGTTTGAGCATGTGGCAGCAGGAGTGTAATTCTGATAAGGAAGACTTCTCTTCAGAAGTGGTATGTGACTAAATAACTAAATGAAAGAAGAGCTGAGGAAAGAACATTCCAGTAGAGGAAATAGAAGACCAATGTGACTAGGGAGGAATTAAAAAAAAAAAAAAAACAGGAATTGACCAGACACAAGTGCCAATGGAAGGCTTTAAACTGCAGAGGGATAGGATCTGTTTTACATTTTGCAAAGAGCACTGTGGTTAGTAGAGGTAGCAAGATTAGAAGCATAGACAAGTTGGGAATCTATGAGTTACAGCACACAACAACAGGTAAGGTATAAAAGTGCTAGCAAGAAGTGATTAGATTTGGAGTATTTCCTTCAAGAGGAGACACCAGAACCAACTTTTAATTTTAAAGGCTGGACTTATAGGACTGGCTGATAAATGGGATGTCATGTGTGAACAATGGAATTAAGGTTGACTCCTACAATTTGTGACCTGAGCAAACTGGATGAATGGCAGACCCATTTTACTAGGTTGGAAATCACTGAAAGAGGAATGGGCTTGGGCAAGGAGTAGAAAAATCAAGATTCCAGTTTTAGATGGTAGTAGAGATCCAAGTAGACAAGAGAAAGAAAAAGGAAAAGGAAGGAAGGAGAAAAGAAAGGAACATAAGCAAGCAAGCAAAGATAGCAAGTAAGCAAACAAGGAAATAAATGGATAAAAACACCATCTGGAGGTTCTGAAGAGGTTGGAGCTGGAGTTGTAATTTTGGTAATTTTTCAGTAAAGAGATGTCATGAGAACTGGCTGAGCTTTACTGAAGGAGCAAGTAAAGAGAGAGGATGTGGCAGAGGCATAGGAATGACACCTGTGACACTCTAACACTTAAAGATAGGGAAGAATCAGCAAAGACAATTGAAATTGAATGGCCAGTGAGGTAGGAGGAAAACTGGAGTAGACTGGAAGGATTGGAAGGACGAAAGGTTAGACTTGTGGTGACCACAGTTACAAGATTATCCTAATAGTCCAGGCTAGAGACTAAGGTGACAGCAATATAAATTGCAGACAAGAAGAAAGATTTAAGTAGTATTAAAGAATTGTAGAATGCATATAACTTGGCAACTGACCGGATATAAGGGGTAAAAGCAAAGTTAAGATTTTAAGTTGGGTAACTAAGAAGATGGATGTATCATTTACTAAAATAGTGAATACAGAACAAGAAGTAAGCTTATGATAGAAAACTGATAAGCACCCAGGGGAAATTATTTTAGGAAGCAACTGAGAATGAGACTGGTAGAGAGACGGACATATGAATCTGAGGAGTCATCAGTATAAAGATGTTTGATACAGCCATTGGATTGCTTTTCTGTAGGAAAACAACAGCAAAAATGCAAAAAAAAAAAAAAAAGAGGAAAACACTATAACTAGGGAATAATTGCAGCCAAAACAAAAGAACTAGAAGATTAACAGAGATACAGGAGTATCAGTACAGTTAGAAGTCAAGAAGCAGAGCTCATATAGTAGGGAGTCCACAGCATGCAATGATCAAGACAGATCAAACAGGCTGAGACTAAGAAAAGGACTCTGGGTTGTCCACTGAAGATTATTGATCATTCTGGGTAGAAAAGCTTTAGGAAAATGATGGGACAGAAGCCACACTACAAAGAATAAAAGATTACGTGCAAGAAATAAAATAGAGGCGGTTAAGAATAGACTACTCTTTCTGAAAGCTTGCCAGTGAGGGGAAGGGCAAAATGAAGGAAGGCAGGATCATGAATGTGCAATGCATAGCAGGATAAGAGAATGAAGATACCAATTGGGAAAAATAAAAGCATTAACTATTTTAAAGTAATCAGACATACCTCATTATCTCTCAAACAATATAAAACGTATCTTTGGAAGTTTAAGATATTTGATGGTTAAATAACAATGGATGAGCTACTTAATCTTTCACTAAAAATATAAACAAGACAAAAGCTATAAAGATATTCGTAAAAGCATATTAACTATTCTTCAGAAACTTCAAATAGTTTTTTGAAATATTAGTTGTTTCAAATATTAAAACTTCTTTGAACATATTCAAGGTCCATACCACAAGATCAAGTGTAAGAAGAAAGTTTATATAACAACAATAAGCATCAAATATTTCCAATAACTGATGCCCCCTGACATGGTTCAAGAGGGAGGTACATAATAAATTAGGTCAGTGATTTATTTTTCTACAGGGAAAAATTTTCTTCAAATAGTTATATGAAAGTCCATTATATGAAATTAAAAAAAAAAACTGTTCTGGTGGAAGGTGGAAGGCTCTTTAGAGAATTCCTGAAATATCTCTGGGGATTCCCTAGAAATGATCAGAGTAAAGTATGAAAACCACTGAATTAGTGATATAGCAGGCCCCTAGGAAAGAGAGAATCAGAGTTATAGAACTGAAAAACCCAAAAAGGTGGCAGAAATGGGTGTTTTCTTAAAGGTTCATTTCTCAACCTAACTTTTTTTTTTTTTAATTGAGGTGGCCCACAAAAATATGACAACTATTTAAAGATGACTTAGAATTTTTTTCCTTTTATGTTAAGCTGGCTTAATATATAAAAAATCTTAAATGTGCCTTACAGTCTAGTTCTTATATGCTTGGGTGAAAGAACTCTCCCTTAGCTTTCCTCCCTACTCATTTTATATTTTATTTTAAAAGATTAAAATACATTTGAAAATATTTATTACAAATTTGCTAACAGCCTGTTCCTAGTTGTAGATATGAAACCTTAATCTTACTCAAAATTTTACAATATTAAAATCGTCATAATCTATAAAGACATGCCCATTTTTTACTACCTAAATATATCAGTTTTAAATGACTTATTGACAATCATAATGAAACAAAGAATAAGTGCCCTGTTCATATGTATTTCCTACCTTGTTTAACTGACAAAACTCTATTCCGGAAGGATTTGGTTTTCCCTGGATCATGGCTATTTCCACTTTGGCTATATCCACTGAAGCTCGATGAAGAAAATGGCCCATCCAGTTCATCATCAAGTAGATAGACTGAAAGCCCTTCAACAGTATCTGAAACTTACGTTTTCAAAGATTGTAATGTTAACATGACTGTCATGTTTTCAGAAAGTTAAACACTTTTTTTAAACTTTGTTTAAAACTTTGTCTTACTCAATTACTTTACTTTAACACAGACATTAATTAAATTGTTCTAAGAAAGAAATATGAGTATTTTGAGAATAAATGATTTGTCATCACTAAATTTTCAGGTACAAAATATCAGAAAGTTGCTCAAGGAACCCATCTGTCTCTACACATAATGAGTCCTCAATTCTTTTGTTGACAAATATACTGTAGATGAGGGCTCTTAGGGATTATAGATTTTAAAAAATCATAAACTCATATAGTTTTAAAACTCGAAAAGACTTTAAAATTCATCTAGTCTTATATTTTCATTTATTAAATGAAAAACTAAAAGTTCTAAGGCCTAATGTCTTACCCAGGGCTACACAGCTAATGACTGGAATTGGGACTAAAACACAACTTTTCTAAATCCAAATCCATTGTTCTTCGCATAATAAACTACGCTGTCTCTTCCATATACTTAATATCAGTATTAAACTGACATATACACGCCAAAAACAAAAGACATATTTACCAGGAGACGAGAAAGGAGAGCTAGTTCTGGCATAAGACATTGAGGTATTCTGGTCATTTTTAGGCTGCAACTTCATTAGTTTTTGTTTCCCTTTTGGACTACAAGTAAAAATATGTAACAATGAACATTTTTTTTCCTATGTTAGCAACATATTGTGATAGACAGATACAAAATGGTTAAGGTAACCAAAGAAGAAATGCCCCAAAATTCAAGTGAAATGCTCCAAATTAGTAATTTTACAAAGTTAAACCTCAATCATTAAAAGAAAGTTTTCAGTACAGTAAAACTACATAAACAATGTCTTGGGTGGCTAATTCCATCTTTACACAGGGACAAAAGTTCTAAAAGAATCACTTGGCAGTCTCTTGAATTATTCATAAACTTTTGAGAAATGAGGTAATTTATACAATGCTTTGAGAACATAAAATTCTACATCAATGTAATATACCTAGGAGCTCTGCTACTAGATAATGAACTGCTGCTGCTTCTTAGACGTTTTCGGTACCGTGGCCTTCTCCTCTTCTGACTCTGGATTTCAGACTTATATTCAGAGATAATATTTTTAATACGACTTTCAAATAAGGCAGATAATCGCAGTGTCATGCTATAGATCTGAAAAGGTGGAAATTATAGTCTTGTTTTACCAATCACTTTAATTGTGTAAAACATAAGAGGTATGGAACAGAATCAGTATCTATACTCTACACAAAATATATACACTATTTCATATACATGACAAATTCTTCCTGCAGAATTAAAATTACATACCATTTTCACTTAAAAATTAAAGATTTTAAAAAGATAATAGCCATTGTTGGGAAGAGTGGGCAAAAAAAAAAAAAGACTCTCATGTACCATCAATGGCAATTTTAAGTGGGAAAATATTTTAAAGGACCATTTAAAATATGTGACAAAAAACCTTAAAGATATGCACATCTGTAGCCTAATAATTTCATCTCTGGGAATTTATCTTAAAGAACTATCAGAAAATTACACACATGAAAATTTTATGTTTAAGGATATGTTCAACATGTTAGCTATAGTACTATTCAAGTAAAGTAAAAAACTGGAAAAAAACCTAAATCTCTAGCAGCACGCTACCAGATAAATAACATAAAACTATTGTAGTGCCTAAAGCATTTGACTACTAACTAGAAGCCTGGTTGTTCAAACCCACCAGCCACTCCTTGGAAGGGAGGTTGGGCAATCTACTTCTGTAGAGATACTGCCTCAGAAACCCAAGGAGAGGTCACTATGAGTTGGATCTGACTCGGTGACAGTGAGTTTGGTTTGGTTTTTACCATACAGTAGAATACAATGTTGTCATTGCTGTTGTTGTTGTTAGGAGTCCTCAAGTTGATTTCAACTCATAGAGTTCTCATGTAACAGAGTAGAACTGCCCCACAGCGTTTTCTTGGTTGTAATCTTTACTGAAGAAATCGCCAGGTCTTTCTCCCATGGAGTCACTGGGTGGGTTCAAACCTCTGACCTTTCAGATAGTAGCCCAGAACTCAACTGTTGTGCCATCAGGGCTCCTTAGTAAAATTCTATACAG